CCATTGATAATTGATCAGGAATTAAAAATTGACAGGTACATCTTAGCCATTGAAATAGTAGATCAAGTGGTCCATATTAATTCTTATTTCTTTCATTGTGATTCATTCTCATTTGAGCGCACTTCTATATATATATATATATATATATATAAAGAGGCAACTTATTTAACAAAAATAGTAGCAAAAAAATAGGTCATAATTTAATGCAACTCATAAATAGTAAGTTTTGTTATTTTTCTTATTTTTTTTTCTTTAAAAATCATACAACATTAAATGCTACCTTAAATTTCGTGTTTTAGTTCATTTTATTATTTAAAAAATCCGGCTAAAATCTATCAAGTGTGTATGTTTTTATTTTTATTTTATTTTTTTTCTTAAAAACAACGAACAACATTAAAATATCGGTCTCTATATTTATAAAATATCATTTTAAAATATAACAAAAGTTTTAGAATCTCACTCTTTATATTTTTGTCTTTAAAAAAAATTTATTGAACGCTAAAATTCTTTAAATTGATAATCAATAAATTAATCTTAATATTTTTTGAAACTTACCATGTTTATTTTTTATTTATATGCATAAAGTAAAAATAATTAATTCATCTTTAGATATATAATTTATAATCTTAATATACTATAATTTGGTGTATACATTATTATATGAATCATAAATATTTTTATTTCATAAATTAAATATATTTAAAGAAAATAAGAAAATTTCTTTGGATCAATCAGGTGACCGAATTAGGGTACTGCCCAGGTTGATTGAATTACATTTAGGTGATAGTTAAAATAGTCAAAAAACTTGACACAACTTGGTTGGTCTCAGATGACTAAGTTATGTATCAGTTTGACCAAACTAAATCGATTATTAAACCTAAATATAAATTTTAATATTGAAAATACTTATTTACGTGAATGTGATGCATTCCAAACTTCAAATAATCGTATTAACAATACTTTTATGACAACATATTTAATAATATATAAATATTTATATATCATTTTATCAATATTTATGTGAATAAAATAATATTTTATTATAATTTTAATTAATGTACATTAAATATAAGGTTTAAATAACTGGACCGTCATCGAAATGATCAAGTTATTTTATTAAATCATTTGTGGTTTGTTCAGATTTTAATTTAT